CCAGGGGACATCTGGGAGTTGGGGACATCCATGGTGGGACATTCCCCAGTGCCACCACCTCCTACCTGCACCACAAGTGACACCCAGGGGACATCCCTGCTGCCACCGCCTTCCACCTGTGCCGCAAGTGACACCCGGGGACATCCATGGTGGGGACATCCATGGTGCCACTGCCTTCTACCTGCACCACAAGTGACACCTAGGGGACATCCATGAGGGGACATCCCTGCTGCCACCGCCTTCTACCTGCACCGCAAGTGACAGTGACACCCAGGGGACACCCACGGTGGGACATTCCCCAGTGCCACCGCCTTCCACCTGCGCCGCAAGTGACACCCAGGGGACACCCATGAGGGGACATCCATGGTGCCACGGCCTTCTGCCTGCGCCGCAAGTGACAGTGACACCACCAGGGACATCCATGGTGGGGACATCCCTGGTGCCACCACCTTTCACCTGCGCCACAAGTGACACCCAGGAGACATCCATGGTGGGACATTCCCCAGTGCCACCGCCTTCCACCTGCGCCGCAAGTGACACCCAGGGGACATCTGTGAGTTGGGGACATCCATGGTGGGACATTCCCCAGTGCCACCACCTTCTACCTGCACTGCAAGTGACAGTGACACCCAGGGGACATCCATGGTGCCACCGCCTTCCACCTGTGCCACAAGTGACACCTGGGGACATCCATGGTGGGGACATCCATGGTGCCACTGCCTTCTACCTGCACCACAAGTGACACCTAGGGGACATCCATGAGGGGACATCCCTGCTGCCACCGCCTTCTACCTGCACCGCAAGTGACAGTGACACCCAGGGGACACCCACGGTGGGACATTCCCCAGTGCCACCGCCTTCCACCTGCGCTTCAAGTGACACCCAGGGGACATCTGGGAGTTGGGGACATCCATGGTGGGGACATTCCCCAGTGCCACCACCTCCTACCTGCACTGCAAGTGACACCCAGGGGACACCCATGAGGGGACATCCATGGTGCCACGGCCTTCCACCTGCGCCGCAAGTGACAGTGACACCACCAGGGACATCCATGGTGGGGACATCCCTGGTGCCACCGCCTTCCACCTGTGCCACAAGTGACACTGAGGGGACATCAGGGCTTGGTGACATGCAGGGGCTGGGGACATTTATGGTGGCAGGACCTGCAGGGGTTGGTGACATCCATGTGGGGGACACGTCCGAGGGCGGAGGGGACCCCCGGGGCTGGTGCCACTCCCCGGTGAATAAAGTGCCAGCTGCTGGTGTCACCTCGTGGGTGTCACTTCGGGAGGTCCGCGGGGCCAGGACCGTCCTTTTGGGGTCAGAACTCTCCTTTTGGGGTCAGGACTCTCTTTTTGGGGTCAGGACTCTCTTTTTGGGGTCAGGACGCTGCTTTTGGGGTCAGAACCATTTGGGAGAGAATCAAACCCGCCGGGGAGCGCCCCAAAACCGCCCTAAAACCCGCCCCAAACCTGGAGGGAACCGCCCCAAAACCCGCCCCAAAATAAATGGAACCGCCCCAAAACAAGAACCGCCCCAAAACCAACAGGAACCGCCCCAAAATAAACGGGAACCGCCCCAAAACCAACAGGAACCGCCCCAAAATAAACGGGAACCGCCCCAAAACCAACAGGAACCGCCCCAAAACAAAAGGAACCGCCCCAAAACAAACAGGAACCGCCCCAAAACCCGCCCCAAAATAAACGGGAACCGCCCCAAAACCCGCCCCAAAATAAACGGGAACCGCCCCAAAACCCGCCCCAAAATAAACGGGAACCGCCCCAAAACCCGCCCCAAAATAAACGGGAACCGCCCCAAAACCCGCCCCAAAATAAACGGGAACCGCCCCAAAACCCGCCCCAAAATAAACGGGAACCGCCCCAAAACCCGCCCCAAAATAAACGGGAACCGCCCCAAAACCCGCCCCAAAATAAACGGGAACCGCCCCAAATCTGCTGAAAATCCCCCAAAACTACCGGGAATTGCCCCAAAACCACTGAGAATCGCTGCAAACTGGCCCCAAAACTGCTGGGCAACCCCAAACTCACCCAAAACTCAGGGGAATTGCCTCAAAACCTCCAGGACCACCCCAAGACTGACGGGATCACCCCAAAACTGATGGGAATTGCCCCAAAACTGCCGGGAATTGCCCCCAAACCGCCCCAAACCTGCCCCAGAGCGGGGTAGGCTGATCCCAAAACCGGGGAATCAGGGATGGAAAGTTTGGGATGAAAATCTGGGAAAATGGGGCCGATCCCAAAACTGGGCTTCAAAATTCGGGATAAAATTATGGGAAAATGGGGCTGAGTTCATCACTGGGGCATCAGGGATTGTAAATTTGGGATGAAAATTTGGGAATTTGGGGCTCAGCCGTCCCTGGGAATATTTCCCCCACTCCCATCTTTGGGATTCAGCATCTCCTTCCCAAATATCCCCCCCCCAAAAAAAAACCCAAACCACGAATTTTTTGGGAAAAAAAATTGTTTTTGCATCACTTAAATAACTCCAAGCCAGGTTTTTAGGATGGGGAAAAAAAAAAAAAAAACAACAAAAAAATCCAAGACCAGGCGATGACAAGAACATCTTTATAGGAATCAAAATTAATTTAAACCAAGGCGAAATCCATCTTTGGGATTCAGCATCTCCTTCCCAAATATCCCCCCCAAAAAAACCCCCAAACCACGAATTTTTTTGGGAAAAAAAATTGTTTTTACATCACTTAAATAACTCCAAGCCAGGTTTTTAGGATGGGGGAAAAAAAAAAAAACAACAAAAAAATCCAAGACCAGGCGATGACAAGAACATCTTTATAGGAATCAAAATTAATTTAAACCAAGGCGAAATAAATTAAAACATTAAATATTAACTTTCAGTGCAACATATACAGAAGACACGAGAGTAACCATGACTTTTTTTCTAAAAAAAAAAACCCCAAAACAACCCCAAAAACAACCCCAGAACAGAGGGAAAAGCTCCAAAAGGGTTGGTTACTGAGGGGAAATGAAGGTTGTGCCTCCAGCCCGAGGAGGTTTCCTGGGATTGAAATTCATCTATTATTAATAAAAAGCTGGGATTTGTCCCCAAAAATAAGCCAGGCTCGGGGTTTTTTTTTTTTCTGTAGAAAAATAAATCCCCCTCCTGGCGGGGGTTTGGGTTAAAATCCCAAATATTTGGGTTTGAAAAACCCCGGGAGAACGGCCCAAAAGTCGAGGGAAAACCCAGGAAAACGGCGGGAAAAGGGGAAAACGCCCCAAAAAGGACCCGAAGCGGGGGAGGGGGGAGGGGACAGTCCTGGGGGGTCCCCAGGTGTCCCCAGGTGTCCCCAGGTGGTCCCGGGTCTGTCACACACCTGTGGGGACGGGAATGGCAGCGGTTACAGACCCGGGTGTCACCTGTCCCCGGTGTCCCTCCCCTGTCCCAGCTGTCCCCAGGTGTCCCAAACTCACCCAAAACTCAGGGGAATTGCCTCAAAACCTCCAGGACCACCCCAAGACTGATGGGATCACCCCAAAACTGATGGGAATTGCCCCAAAACTGCCGGGAATTGCCCCAAAACTGCCCCAAACCTGCCCCAGAGCGGGGTAGGCTGATCCCAAAACCGGGGAATCAGGGATGGAAAGTTTGGGATGAAAATCTGGGAAAATGGGGCCGATCCCAAAACTGGGCTTCAAAATTCGGGATAAAATTATGGGAAAATGGGGCTGAGTTCATCATTGGGGCATCAGGGATTGTAAATTTGGGATGAAAATTTGGGAATTTGGGGCTCAGCCGTCCCTGGGAATATTTCCCCCACTCCCATCTTTGGGATTCAGCATCTCCTTCCCAAATATCCCCCCCCCAAAAAAAAACCCAAACCACGAATTTTTTGGGAAAAAAAATTGTTTTTGCATCACTTAAATAACTCCAAGCCAGGTTTTTAGGATGGGGGAAAAAAAAAAAAACAACAAAAAAATCCAAGACCAGGCGATGACAAGAACATCTTTATAGGAATCAAAATTAATTTAAACCAAGGCGAAATAAATTAAAACATTAAATATTAACTTTCAGTGCAACATATACAGAAGACACGAGAGTAACCATGACTTTTTTTCTAAAAAAAAAAACCCCAAAACAACCCCAAAAACAACCCCAGAACAGAGGGAAAAGCTCCAAAAGGGTTGGTTACTGAGGGGAAATGAAGGTTGTGCCTCCAGCCCGAGGAGGTTTCCTGGGATTGAAATTCATCTATTATTAATAAAAAGCTGGGATTTGTCCCCAAAAATAAGCCAGGCTCGGGGTTTTTTTTTTTTCTGTAGAAAAATAAATCCCCCTCCTGGCGGGGGTTTGGGTTAAAATCCCAAATATTTGGGTTTGAAAAACCCCGGGAGAACGGCCCAAAAGTCGAGGGAAAACCCAGGAAAACGGCGGGAAAAGGGGAAAACGCCCCAAAAAGGACCCGAAGCGGGGGAGGGGGGAGGGGACAGTCCTGGGGGGTCCCCAGGTGTCCCCAGGTGTCCCCAGGTGGTCCCGGGTCTGTCACACACCTGTGGGGACGGGAATGGCAGCGGTTACAGACCCGGGTGTTGGGTACAGGGATAGGGAATGGGGACAGGGCCAGGGAATGGGGATCGGGATGGGGACCATGGGGACAGGGATGGGGAATGGGGACATGGGGACAGGGCCAGCGCTTCTGCAGGTGACAGCAGCTGGGGACAGCAGGGACAGGTGACATGGGGACAGAGAATGGGGATATGGGGACAGGGACAGGGAATGGGGACAGGCATTGTGACAGGGAATGGGGACAGGGAATGGGGACACAGGGACAGGGGGACAGGGACGGGGACATGGGGACAGGGCCAGGGAGGGGGACATGGGGACAGGGACAGGGAATGGGGACAGGAACCAGGTCAGAGATGGGGTCAGGGACGGGGATGGGGACACAGGGAACGGGGACAGGCACGGGGACAGGGACAGGCCGGGGTCCCTGGTCCCCGGCTGTCCCCAGGGGCTCCCGGTGGCACTCACTGGAGCAGGACGCAGGCGGTGACGAGCAGGGCCGAGGCCACCACGGCCACCACGAGCAGGGCTGTGATGGTCTGCTTCTTCTGGGTGGCTGCCACCACGGCCAGCAGGTCAGCGTGCTCACAGCGTGTCCCCACGGACCCCGAGTGGCACCTGGGGACACACAGCAGGTCAGAGTGTGCCCACGTACCCCGAGTGGCACCTGGGGACACAGGGGACACACGGGGACACACAGCAGGTCAGCGTGTCCCCACGTACCCCGAGTGGCACCTGGGGACACAGGGGACACACGGGGACACAGGGCAGGTCAGCGTGCTCACAGCGCGTGCCCACGTACCCCAAATGGCACCTGGGGACACAGGGGACACACGGGGACACACAGCAGGTCAGAGTGTCCCCACGTACCCCGAGTGGCACCTGGGGACACACAGGGACACCTGGGGACACCTGGGGACACGGGGACACACAGAGCAGGTCAGCGTGCTCACAGTGTGTCCCCACGTACCCCGAGTGGCACCTGGGGACACAGGGGACACACAGAGCAGGTCAGCCCGGAGTTTTGGGCTCCCCAGGACACCAAACCCGCAGTTTTGGGATTGCTGGGACAACAGCTCTGGAGCTTTGGGGTTTCTCAGGGTTTAGGGCACTCGCACGCAGGCGGGCTCCTCCTGACCCCATACCTTTGGGATTTTGGGGTTTTGGAGCACTCACACGCAGGTGGGTTTCTCCTGACCCCATAATTTTGGGATTTTGGGGTTTTAGGGTCAGGTTTGGGGCACTCACACACAAACAGGTTTCTCCTGACCCCATAGCTTTGGGATTTTGGGGTTTTGGGGCACTCACACACAGGCAGGTTTCTCCTGACCTCTCCCCAGGACACCAAACCCGGAGTTTTGGGATCGCTGGGACAACAGCTCTGGAGTTTTGGGGTTTCTCAGGGTTTAGGGCACTCACACGCAGGCAGGTTCCTCCTGACCCCATAATTTTGGGATTTTGGGGTTTTGGGGCACTCACACACAGGCAGGTTTCTCCTGACCCCATAATTTTGGGATTTTGGGGCCGGTTTGGCACTCACACACAAACAGGTTTCTCCTGACCCCATAGCTTTGGGATTTTGGGGTTTTGGGGCACTCACACGCAGGCGGGTTCCTCCTGACCCCATAGCTTTGGGATTTCGGGGTTTTGGGGCTGGTTGGGCACTCACACTCAGGTGGGTTTCTCCTGACCCCATAATTTTGGGGTTTTGGGATCAGGTTTGGGGCACTCACACACAGACAGGTTTCCCCTGACCCCGTAATTTTGGGATTTTGGGGTGTTGGGGCACTCACACGCAGGCGGGTTCCTCCTGACCCCATAGCTTTGGGATTTCGGGGTTTTGGGGCTGGTTGGGCACTCACACTCAGGTGGGTTTCTCCTGACCCCATAATTTTGGGGTTTTGGGATCAGGTTTGGGGCACTCACACACAGACAGGTTTCCCCTGACCCCCCAGCTTTGGGATTTTGGGGTTTTGGGGCTGGTTGGGCACTCACACTCAGGTGGGTTTCTCCTGACCCCATAATTTTGGGATTTTGGGGTTTTAGGGCCAGGTTTGGAGCACTCACACACAGGAGGGTTTCTCCTGACCCCATAATTGTGGGATTTTGGGGTTTTAGGGTCAGTTTGGCACTCACACACAGACAGGTTTCTCCTGATCCCGTAATTTTGGGATTTTGGGGCACTCACACGCAGGTGGGTTTCTCCTGACCCCGTAATTTTGGGATTTTGGGGTTTTGGGGCACTCACACGCAGGCGGGTTTCTCCTGACCCCGTAATTTTGGGATTTTGGGGTTTTGGGGTCAGGTTTGGGGCACTCACACACAAACAGGTTTCCCCATACCCCGTAATTTTGGGGTTTTGGGGCACTCACACGCAGGCGGGTTTCCCCTGACCCCCCAGCTTTGGGATTTTGGGGTTTTGGGGCACTCACACACAGGCAGGTTTCTCCTGACCCCATACCTTTGGGATTGTGGGATTTTGGGGCCAGGTTTAGGGCACTCACACACAGACAGGTTTCCCCTGACCCCCCAGCTTTGGGGTTTTGGGGCACTCACACACAGACAGCTTTGGGATTTTGAGGTTTTGGGGCACTCACACGCAGGCGGGTTTCCCCTGACCCGATTATTTTGGGTTTTTGGGGCACTCACACGCAGGCGGGTTTCTCCTCCTGCACCAGGAAGCGGCAGGTGCCGTGGAAGCAGAACTGCCGGTGCGAGTCCGGGCACTCGTTGAAGTGCGACCTCACGGCCGCCGCCACCGGGGCTGCGGGAAAACCGGCGATTTCGGGAAAAATCCCCAAAAATGGGGGTCCCCCCGGCGGGCAGCCCCTGCCCTACAGCCCTGGGATGGGATGGGCTGGGCTAGGGGGAAGGGTGGCAGCACCCTCGGGGGGACAGGGGGGACACGGGCTGGGCTCCCTGCCACCCCAAAAGGAGACTTCCCACCCCAAAAGCAGATTTCCCATCCCAAAAGGGTGATTTCCATTCCTAAAAGGAGTTTTCCCACCCCAAAAGCAGATTTCCCATCCCAAAAGCAGATTTCCCACCCCAAAAAGGAGTTTTCCCACCCCAAAAGCAGATTTCCCACCCCAAAAGGAGATTTCCCACCCCAAAAAGGAGTTTTCCCACCCCAAAAGCAGATTTCCCACCCCAAAAAGGAGTTTTCCCACCCCAAAAGCAGATTTCCCACCCCAAAAAGGAGTTTTCCCACCCCAAAAGCAGATTTCCCACCCCAAAAAGGAGTTTTCCCACCCCAAAAGGAGGAGGAGGAGGAGCCCCGCTCCTGTTTCCCATTAAACCCCACCAAACCCCCCTAGTTTGAGTTATTCCCGGCGGGAATTTCCTGCTGGGGATTCTTTGGGATCGAGGCACTCCCGACCCAGCCCCGGCCCCGGGCTGGATTTAGGGCGGCCCCAAAGGGAGGGGGATGAAGGCTGGGATGGGGCCAGGGTGTCCCCAGAGCTGGGGGGCTTTTTAGGGGTTCTTGGGGGCTGGAAACCCTTTCCTTGTCGGGAAACCCTTTCTTTTGGGGCCAAAACCTTTCCTTTTGGGGCTGGAAACCTGTTCCTTGTGGGGTTGGGAACCCTTTGGTTTTGGGACCAAAAATCCTTCTTTTTGGGGGGCTGGAAACCTTTTTGTTGTGGGGCTGGAAACCCTTTGATTTTGGGGCCAAAGGCTGTTTTTTTGGAACCAGAAACCCTTTTTATGGGGCCAGAAACCCTTTCCTTTTGGGAAAAAAACCCTTTTTTGGGGGCTGGAAACCTGTTCCTTGTAGAGAGAGCTGGGGGGCTTTTTAGGGGTTCTTGGGGGCTGGAAACCCTTTCCTTGTCGGGAAACCCTTTCTTTTGGGGCCAAAACCTTTTCTTTTGGGGCCAGAAAACCTTTTTTTGGGGGGCTGGAAACCTCTTCCTTGTAGGGAAACCCTTTCTTTTGGGGCCAAAACCTTTCCTTTTGGGGCTGGAAACCTGTTCCTTGTGGGGTTGGGAACCCTTTGGTTTTGGGACCAAAAATCCTTCTTTTTGGGGGGCTGGAAACCTTTTTGTTGTGGGGCTGGAAACCCTTTGATTTTGGGGCCAAAGGCTGTTTTTTTTGGGAAAAAAACCCTTTTTTGGGGGCTGGAAACCTGTTCCTTGTAGAGAAACCCTTTCTTTTGGGGCCAAAACCTTTCCTTTTGGGTCCAGAACCCCATTTTTTTTTGGGACCAGAACCCCTTTTTTTGGGAGCCAGAACCCCTTTGTTTCTGGGATCAGAAATCCCTTTTTTTGTTTTTGGGGCCAGAACCCTTTTTTTGGGAGCCAGAACCCCGGTTTTTTGGGATGAGAACCCCTTTGTTTCTGGGGGCAGAACCCCTTTGTTTTTGAGATCAGAAACCCTTTTTTTTGGGAGCCGGAACCCCTTTTTTTTGGGATGAGAACCCCTTTGTTTCTGGGGGCAGAACCCCTTTGTTTTTGAGATCAGAAACCCTTTTTTTTGGGAGCCGGAACCCCTTTTTTTTGGGATGAGAACCCCTTTGTTTCTGGGGGCAGAACCCCTTTGTTTTTGAGATCAGAAACCCTTTTTTTTGGGAGCCGGAACCCCTTTTTTTTGGGATGAGAACCCCTTTGTTTCTGGGGGCAGAACCCCTTTGTTTTTGGGGCCAGAACCCCTTTTTTTTGGGATGAGAACCCCTTTTTTTGTGGGACCAGAACCCTTTTGTTTCTGGGGGCAGAACCCCTTTGTTTTTGAGATCAGAAATCCTTTTTTTTGGGAGCCAGAACCCCGTTTTTTTGGGATGAGAACCCCTTTGTTTCTGGGATCAGAAATCCTTTTTTTGGGGGCCAGAACCCCTTTGTTTTTGGGATCAGAAATCCTATTTTTTGGGTCCAGAACCCCTTTTTTTTGGGATGTGAACCCCTTTTTTTGGGGCCAGGAAACCATTCCCGGTTTCCCCCTCAGAGGTCAGGGCCGGGATCCCACCCAGGGCCCCGTAACCCCCGGAGAGGAGGGGTGGCACACCAGAAAACCCCAAAATCCCCGCGGGCACTCACCGCTCCGGCCGGCCGTGCTGTTGTCCAGCGCGTGGCACGCGGCCAGCAGGACACCTGGGGAGGGACACGCAGGGTCAGCCCAAAAAAACCCCCCCAAAAAAAAACCCCGGGGGGGGATTTTGGGTCGCCAAAACCGCCCCCGGAGTTTTCAGGAAAACGCGGGAATTTTGAGGAAATTTTTAAGGGAAAAATCTCCGAGATTTTAAAGGAAAAATCTCAATATTTTTAAGGAAAAATCTCAAGATTTTCAAGGAAAAATCTCCAAGATTTTAAAGGAAAAACCTCCAGGGTTTTAAAGGAAAAATCTCCAGGATTATCAAGGAAAAATCTACAGGATTTTAAAGGAAAAACCTCCAAGGTTTTAAAGGAATAACCTCCAAGGTTTTAAAGGAAAAATCTCCAGGATTTTAAAGGAAAAATCTCCAGGATTTAAAAGGAATAACCTCCAGGATTTTAAAGGAATAATCTCCAGGATTTTAAAGGAAAATGCAGGAATTCTCCGTGGGGGTGGAATGAGGGGGTCCTGGCAGGAACGACCCCCCCGAGTGACCCCTTGGAGGGGGCAGGGTGGCCCCCCTGGCCAGGAGCGATCCCAGGGCACGGAGCCGACTGGGATTGACCGGTTTCCCGGGGTTTTCCCAGGATTGACCGATTTCCCGGGATTTTTCCCCGTTTCCCGCACGGTTTGGATCCAGCGGCGCGGAAACGGCGGCGGGAGGGACACGGAGCCTGGGGCAGCACGTCCTGCAGATCCCGGCGCCTCAGGAGCTTCAGGGATCCGCCCAGGGATCCACCAGATCTTCAGGGATCCGCCCAGGGATCCCCCACAGCTTCAGGGATCCACCCAGGGATCCACCAGGTCTTTAGGGATCCACCAGATCTTCAGGGATCCACCCAGGGATCCCCCACAGCTTCAGGGATCCACCCAGGGATCCACCAGGTCTTTAGGGATCCACCCAGGGATCTTCCACAGCTTCAGGCAAGGCCTCAGGGATCCACCAGATCTTCAGGGATCCACCCAAGGCCTCAGGGATCCACCTGAGCTTCAGGGATCCGGGATCCACCCAGGGATCCCCCAGATCTTTAGGGATCCATCCAGGCTTTCGGGCATCCATCCCAGCTTTAGGGATCCTCCACGGCCTCAGGGATCCAGCACAAATTCAGGGATCCACCCAGGGCTTTGGGGATCCACTGGAGCTTCAGGGATCCACCCAGGGCTTCAGGGATCCAGCACAAACCCAGGGATCCACCACAGCTCCAAGAACCCACTGCAGCTTCAGGGATCCACCAGGACTTTGGGGATCCTCCACGGCTTTGGGGATCCACTCAGAGCTTTGGGGATTCACCAGAGCTTCAGGGATCCTCCACAGCTTCAGGGAGACAGGAGGGACCAGGGGGATCCACTGGAGCTTCAGGGATCCTCCACGGCTCCAGGGATCTACCACAGCTTCGGGGATCCACCTTGGCTTTGGAGATCCTCCATGGCTTCCCTGGATTCCTCGCAGACCTCGGGGATTCTCCTCCCGTGGAAGCTCCAGCAGCAATCCGGTCTGATCCCAGCCTTTCCCGTTTTTCCCAGCTCGGGGCTTCATCCGTTCTGGGGTTTTTGGGAAACGTTCTGGGGTTTTTGGAATCCACTCCTGGGATTTTGGGGAATGGCTCATCCTGGTGGGATGGGTGGGATCCATCCCCGTGGGGATCCTGGGTCTGAGTGGGCATCCATCCCCTTGGCATTCCAGAGGGATCAGTGGGCATCCACCCCTGTGGGCATCCATCCCCTTGGCATTCCAGAGGGATCAGTGGGCATCCATCCCTGTGGGCATCCCAGTGGGATGGGTGGGCGTCCATCCCTGTGGATACTCCAGTCCTGAGTGGGTGTCCATTCCTTGGCATTCCAGTTCTGAGTGGGCGCCCATCCCCTGGGCATTCCCGTGAGTGGGCATCCATGGATGGGTGGGATCCATCCCCGTGGGGATCCTGGGTCTGAGTGGGCATCCATCCCCTTGGCATTCCAGAGGGATCAGTGGGCATCCATCCCTGTGGGCATCCATCCCCTTGGCATTCCAGAGGGATCAGTGGGCATCCATCCCTGTGGGCATCCATCCCCTTGGCATTCCAGAGGGATCAGTGGGCATCCACCCCTGTGGGCATCCCAGTGGGATGGGTGGGCGTCCATCCCTGTGGATACTCCAGTCCTGAGTGGGTGTCCATTCCTTGGCATTCCAGTTCTGAGTGGGCGCCCATCCCCTGGGCATTCCCGTGGGATCAGTGGGCATCCATCCCCGTGGGTGTCCATCCCTGTGGGCATTCTGGTTCTGGGTGGGCATCCATCCCCTTGGCATTCCGGCTCCTCTGCTCTCCTTCCCAGCCCCTCTCCGTGAGCAGGTGGCAAGCCCAGCCCTCATCCCCGATCCCACACAAAGTTTCCCAAAACCTTGGGAAGTTTTCCATGCCCAGGCCCAGCCTGGGGACACCGGACACCTGCCGGACACTCGGACAATGCACGCTCCAGCCCTGCCGTGGGGCTGACCCATCCCCACCCCCGCTGGCTTTTCCAGCCCATCCCACCCCGTTCCTCGGGAATCTCTCCCTCCAGAGGACTCGCCAGCCTTCCCACCGCGCTTCCAGCAGCTCCATCCCGCTCATCCCCGGCTCGCCTCTCCCCGCGGCGTCTCCGTTAGCGCTGGGCTCGTTCCAAAATTCCCCCCGGGCTCCGATCCCCGCTGGGCTGCAGGAGCCCTTCCCTTCCCTTCCCTTCCCTTCCCTTCCCTTCCCTTCCCTTCCCCTCGGCCCGAGCGGACCCGCCGGGCTCAGCCAGGGCTCCTCTCCCACCCGGATCCCACCCGGGCTGGGAATCGCCGGGATCGGGGTGCCCAGACAGGCGGGGAACGGCGGCTCAGCCCCTCGAGGGTGAGCACCGGCACCGGAGAGAGACCCGGAGCCACGGGACCGGGCAGGAGCGGGAGAGAACGGGACACGGGCGGAGGGATGAGCCTCGGGAGGAGGGACACGGTGCTGGAACGACCGGGGCAGGAGCGGGACCGGGACACGGTGCCGGAGCCCCGGGGGAGGAGCGGGACCGGGACACGGTGCTGGAGCCCCGGGGGAGGAACGGGACCGGGACACGGTGCTGGAGACCCGGGGGAGGAACGGGACCGGGACACGGTGCAGGAGCCCCCGGGGGACGCTCGGTAGAAGAGCAGGAGCGGCACCGGGACACGGCGCGGCAGCGCCGGCAGCTGGAGCGGGGCCAAGCCCAGCCGCTTTCCCACCGGGACACCGGACCCGCGGCTGGGTGACACCGGCGGGGACAGCGGGACAAAGCCAGCCGAGCTCCCGCCGTCCGCTCCGGGATCCCTCCGTCCTTCCTTCCCCCGGAGCATCCCCGCTCCCGTCCCGTCCCGGCATCGCCCCCGCTCCCACCGCCCGCTTCCCTCGGCACGCACCCCCACCCTCCGCCACTCTAATTAGCCCCCAGCCCTAATTAGCCGCCCTAATTAAGCGTCTGAACAGAGACCACTGGACCCTCCAAGACCCCTTGGGCCCACCACCCACACACCCCATCAATCCCCCGGACCTGTGACCCCCAAGTCCCCCTGGCACCCCCAAACCTCCCCTACAACGGGCCCTGCCACCCCCGGGACCCCCACTGTCCCCCCGGTGCCACCCATGGGGGCACGCAGCCCCGAGTGTCCCCGGGGGATCCCCCAACCCCTCCAAAGCTGAATTTTGGGCTGGGGTCACCCTGTCTCACCCACATGGGGAGCCCTTGGCCCCAGCTCAGTGTCACCCCCATGTCCCCCCATGGAGATCGGGGGGACAGGAGGGACCAGGGCCCCCCGTGTCCCTCCCTGCCCCCCCGTGACTCCCGGATTGCCAAACCCCTGCCAGCACATCCTGTGTCACCCTCAGCTGCTGCTGATCCCAGCCTTGGTCATCCCGAAATCTGCAGGGCCACCACCCCGCTGATCCCAGCCTTGGTCACCCCAAAATCTGCTGATCCCAGCCTCGGTCATCCCTAAATCCATGGAGCTCCCACCCCGCTGATCCCAGCCTTGGTCACCCCAAAATCTGCTGATCCCAGCCTCGGTCATCCCAAAATCCCAAAATCTGCACCCTGCTGATCCCACACTCGGTCATCCCAATCCGACCAACCCAAACCTGGCAGTGGTGGCCCCAGTGGTGGCCCAAACCTGGCAGTGGTGGCCCAAACCTGGCAGTGGTGGCCCCAAAGCTGGAGGTGGCCAGCACATCCCCCATCACCCACGAGGATCCCCCCTGAGGACCCCAGCTCTGACCCATGGAAGCCCCTGGGTGTGGGGCCAGGGGGGGTTTGGGGAGGTCCGTGCTGGGCTGTGTCCCCCCCCGTATCCCCTGGATTGTCTCTTCCCGTGTCCCCTGCCGTGTCCCCCTCCGTGTCACCTGGCGTGTCACCTGGAGCGTCCCCTGGTGTGTCTCCTGGCATGTCCCCCCCGTGTCCCCCCCGTGGGAGCTGCTGTGTCCCCCCCATGTCACTCCCCGTGTTCCCCCCATGTCACTCCCCGTGTCCCCCAGGGCCAGAGCCTTCCCACCGCGGGACCCAGCCCGGGACCCACCGGGACCCACCCCGAACACTGTGCGGGACCCACCCCCGGGACCACCCGGGCACCGTGCGGGACGCGCCCCGGGAACCGCCGGGACCCTGCGGGACCCCCCGGGACCCACCCCCGGGATTACCCGGGAGCCATCCCGGGACCCACAGCGGGAGCCATCCCGGGACCCACCGCGGGACCCAGCCCGGGACCCCCCGGGACCCTGTGGGACACCCCGGGACCCAGCCCCGGTATTACCCGGGACCCGCCCCGGGACCCACCCCGGGACCCACCCGGGACCCTGCGAAACCCACCCCCGGGATCGTCCGGGACCCCTCCCCGGACACCTCTCGGGACCACCTGGCCAGCTCCTCGGGAAACTCCCCGGGACTACCGGCGACCCTTCCCCCGGGAGCCCCCTGGGACCACCCGGGACCACCCTGGCCGGGATCGTCCTGACTCACCCGGGCACTCCACCAGGGG